TGATTAGACATGTTTTTTATTATTGTCATTAGTGATTATCTCAATTTCGGCTAAAAGAATTGACAAAATCCTACACACTGTGCCTTTAAAGGATTCATTTTTTTATTTCTGCTTTTATTTCTAACTATGTCAGTGTCGGTCCTCCGTACTGCAGAACTTGGAAGAGTAGTGACTGAATCAGGTGTTTTGGAGCAGGGAAACATGTAAAACATGTAGGGCTGCGGCCCTCGAGGACCACGATTGCCCACCCCTGCAAGGTTAAACAGTTTCCCAAACGTTTATCATCATCACGTAATTAAGATAAAACTTGCGTGCCAATTAAAGGCCTGGCATCTTTTGAAGATATATCGTGCTGCTTTAATGGTTTCTTTCACTGTTCTTCTAAATGGCCTCATCATTCTCAGTTTGTTGCGTTTAGTCAAATGAAACTGAACAGATGTGAAACCTAAAGCGTAGATTTGCTCGGCAGGTTCAGAAGGTGCTGTGTTTGGACACTCMGTGGAGACTCCTCTGATCCGAGCGAGGACCACCGAAGACCTGAGGTGAGTTTATATTTACTCAGTTTATTAAAAAAACATTAAAGCTTCACTTCATCTGTTCGTATCCTGTTCAGTTAAAGTCAGGATCTTTAAATAATGATGATAAATGTTCTGTGGCATTAAAGAAAAGAAGCATGCAGCAGGCGTCATTACTCTCCACTATCATTATCTCAAGCAGCGTATTGTCGACGGGTTACCACCAGATTTGACCACTTGATTAATTTCACAGCTGAGGGGCTGAACTAATTTATTAGTTTTTTCTTTCTACGAGACAGGAATTGATTAAAAGCACGKAGAAAGTTGGAAAAGATCGAGCTTGTGTTGTACTGTTTTCCCCACTCCCCTCGTGCACGTGGTCCGCACTGAACTGCGCCCGAGGCGCCGGCCCCTCGTCGCKCCGTTAACGAGCTGTAAGGATCTCGGTTTGTTGTCCAACTTACGGCTCCGGAGACGAGAGCCGGGATCAAAGTTGACAGAAAAAGCACTGTTCTGGCAGCTAATTCCTTCCAGAGTGAGAGGAATACTGATGATTTTCATTTTCAAGCCAACCGTCGGGACTGTCGAATACACACACGCGTGCACACACACACACACACACACACACACACACACACACACACACACACACACACGCTCAGCTCAGGGGTGACCATCTGCAATGTGGCCACAATCACAACGAGAGCCAAGAACTCGGGAGACAGCCTGAACACAAAAAAGCAACGTGATGTTCACTCCAGCAGGGTTTTTGTTTCAACAAAATATATTTCATTTATACAAAAATAAAATTTTTGTTTAGTTAAAAAATGTCATTTTCAGACTGTTTCAGGATGACTRCTTCCTCCAGTAGATGAACATTTTCCACACAGGCAGAAGAAACTGCAGATGAGGATTAGGGCCACAAAGCAAAAATATACATACATATTTTTCCCCGAATTGTTTTTTTTTTTTTAATTCTGAGATTACAGTTCGAACACAGGGAAATTATTATTTTCTCTCTGTGGACCTAATCCTTTTCTGTAAGAAACTGTACTGTCAGGACTCAAATACTTCTTTTCCCTAAATCCAGTTTCCTCCCCTGATGTTGTATAAAAGCTTTATTATTTCATTGAAGGGTCTGTGCACGTTTTGGTCTTTCGTTTTTTTTATTTTAAAAGCAGATATTGAAAAACTAATGGTTATTCTAATTTCATTTTATGCTCCAAAAACAGAAAAATTGTCCATCTTTTAATTTTTCTCAAATGGGAAGTTTAACATAGTCGTCAAAGCAGCTCTGTCCTGTGATTAGGTTACACTTACAGAAACTACTTAGCTAGTATTTATTTATTGCAGCTGCCTGGTTAGCTAGTTATAAAGTAAAATGTGTTTATTCATCCCATTATCAGACCATTTAAGTTTGATTTTTTAGAGAAATTAGTTAGACTAGCTATATTAATAAAAATAACAGTATGTAGTTTCTTAAAAAAATCAAAAGTAGTCATTTATTTATCGGCAGCTGTTTGTTATTAAAAATTTCCACTTTAAATGGTCTGATAACGACAAGAGTTAAATTTCTGATTTGAGAAAAAGTAARCAATGGACCGTTTCCCTGTTTTTAGAGTAAAAAATATAGCGAATAACCATCCATTTTTTTCTTTTTCAATATCTATTCATAAAACAAAAACCGAATGACCAAGAAGCTATAGAAAAGCAGAATGGAGAACCTTATATGGACCTTTGATGTTGTGAAGTTATGTCCTCACTTTTTAAGTGATTTTTTTTAAATGTCCAAAATTTCTGCGAAACAAAACACTCTCAAAATTGTCATTCACAACTAATTGTCAACATTTACGGCCCTGTGAAATTTTAATCACTGTTTGGTTTTGGTTCATTCATGGAGTAGGAAAYGAGGCCGGTCACCAGTCGAGCCTAAAATCAGCTCACCGGCCGACTGATCGTTGCATCTCTAGTGCCGAACGTTTAACTCTTCCTATTTATTCAGCTCGGAGCCTTTCTTCACTCCACTTTTCACTGCCGACTCTCAGGAAACTTCCTCCCTCGTGTTAAAGACACATCTTGGCTCACATCCACATCACCCAMCTCCTCCTCCTCCTCTTCCTCTTTAAAGAAAGATCAGTCCCTTTGTGGAGCGTCTCCTTTCTCTGCCAGCCGGTGATAATCTGGGAGGCGAACAGAGCAAAGACAGAAATCAAAGGAAGCCACCAGAGATCGTCCTCCTGTTTGAAGCACCTGTTCATCTCCCTGAGTTCCTGAGAGTCTGTGTACACTGGCATTCAGCTCTGTTTGTCATCATCCTGCAGCCATTTATAACCGGCTATAAGCAGTACAATAATTCAGTTAGCTTTTCATCACTTTCTATCAAATATTTAAAACTTGGATTTATTTATTTATATTTAGATGTTTAGAAGTTGTGTCATTTTGTTTCATTCTGATGAAAAGATATTTAGAAACCAGTGAGTTGTTGTGGGCGTCTGGAACTCAAATTAGAAATTAGTCAGAAAGTGAGCAATTTGATCAACTTTAGGAGGACGTGTGACCTTGAGACCAATTGGTAGGGATGTCCCGATCCAGATTTTTTGGCTCCCGATACAATATGATTTTTTTTAATGATTAGTCTTTCCGATACCGATCTGATACCAATGCTTTATTTCTTTCCAAATGGCAAGGTTGATAGTAATAAAGCGAGCCCTGCTGTTCCCACCACGAGGAACATCCTGATTGCAGATTTTGCAAGATGCAGTTTCAGCATCATTGTTTTCCATTGAAAAGTGTTCCCACACTGTGGACATGGTAGCATACTTGTGTGCGTCTTGTCTTCTTAACAGCAGTTGTGAAGCATGATGATGCTGAAAACTGTCGTGAAAACTGGATCGGCCYGGTCACATGACTAAATCTGATTCTACCCGATTTTTWAAAAAATGGCCATATCTGCCACCGATACTGATACTGAGCATCTGATCAGGACATCCCTACCAATTGGTGTCTGATAGATGGGTATAAGAATAAATTGCGATTAGATTAAGAAACTTTGAGACCTAATTGTGAAAAAAACAGTGCGTTGTTCTCTTCTCGTTAAGTTGTGGCACTATGTTTTTCTTCAAAAAGTGTAAAAATAGATGAGGAAAAAAGTAAGGTTGAGAATTATCCAGAAACATGACTCACAGTGTTTCTCAGTAATCCAGATATAACAATCTAAAAGTTGAGTCAGGTGCTCTGAACGGTTTCTTTGTTGAAAAAATGTTTCATCTCTTCTCCAACTCAGCYTTATAAGCAATACTTTCATATAGGATCAAATTTAACGGTGACAATCGAAACTGTTTGTTCACATGCAGAAGAGGACCATCCGCCTAACAATCGGTCATTTGTGCCCTAATGGGTGCTTGTTGTTCACAAGTGGCTGAGTCATATTCACAATAGCAGCATTTTAAGAGGGGAACAACTTGTTTTTGTGAAAAGGATGGCCCAGCACAGAAGAGCAACAGTATCAGATTAAGACTCTGCAGTTTACACTCATCTACAGGCCAGCTGTCACTCATTCAGGGAATGTTCTTATCCTTGATAAAGAGGAAAGAGAGAGAGAGGCAGAGAGCATCTTTATAAAGAGGAATTGTCTGTGTCAAACGGTTGATCCCCCTCCTACAAAGCTGTTATTGTGAGTATGACTCAGCCCTTTGTGAACAATAAGCRTCCATCAGRGCATTAACAGTRATTAGACTGATGGTCCTCTTTAGCATGTGAACAGCCAGTTTTGATTGTCACTGTTAAACTTGTTGATCCACAATGTCAAAGTATTGCTTATAYGAGTTTACCTGTAACTCCTCAGACTGAAAAAGTCTCTTGGAGAATAGACGGAACGTTTCAAAGAGGAACCAACTTTTTTAGATTTAAAATTATGAAGACAAGAACAARAATAATGTCTGCTTTAAAAAGTGGATGTTCTGGTGACAAACATTTAATGGAGACCAATTATAGGTCCTAGAAATTTTATTGGTATGTCTGTGGGCTATCCAGACCATGTTCATACAATTTAATGAACAAAATAATTCTCAGATAATAAAATTTCCCATTTTCTAGTTCTGCCTGCTCTGACTTCCGTTCAGAACAAGCTGTTTATGTTAATGAGCTCTGTTGGTAACGCCCTCCAAAAATCTGTTGACATTAACTCCGCCCTCCAAAGCCAGCGTTTATGTTAGCATGGCTAATAATAGCAGAAGCTCCGTTGTACAACCATATACAGTATATGAGACCCTGAGTCAGACCCAGAGGCAGAGTTGTGGTCGCAGCTTTTCTTTTCTCCCCCTCCTCCTGTCGGAGCTCTTCGCTCACTCTGTATGCTGTTACCAGGGCAGGTAATGGGAGCAGCAGCGGTCAAAATACCTCAGAAACTCGAACAAATAGGCTAAAGATAAAAACAATGGAGGTACATGAGAAAACGTTTTCATAACGAACAAAAATAAATAGTTAAATAATTTGTGTCCGTGTCGGTCTCAAACCCTTGTCTCCCTCTCTCTGGTCCAACACTCTACCCGTTGCCCTATTAGAAGGCTTGTTGTGAAATGAGCTGCGCATTACACAACAACAACCGTGATGGCTTTTTATACTGAGGAGGTGGAGCCTCACCCGGGGGTTGCTAGGCTAGGTGAGGGGCTGAACGCAGGTTCCGGTGGGTTGTCGTACGGCTTGTGACATCACAAAATGTAGGAAGTATAAAATTTGTCATTAATATACATTAAAAATACATTTACTTACAGTAAATATGCCCCTGGGTGCATTTTTTTGGTCCTAGGACTGCTTTTTCAAGAAGTACATACCCAAAGTTGAGTAAAAAAAAAAGCTTTAAAAAGTGAATTTTGCATACTAGGCCCCCTTTAATTAATATTTTTAAACTGATCTGTTCAAGCACTATGCAGCTTGAAGAGTACTATATGTTTATGGTATCAATTAACACAGATCCAGTGATGCAAACTGACATTCCTTTTTAAAAGTTTTTGTCTTCAACATATCTT